ACAGGGGCACGTGGGCTCCCTTGAGTTGTCTGTGGGGACAGAGCTCGAGGCAAGGGTCCCGAAACCACACTCCTGCCCCTGTTTGGCCACCGCCCTCGGAAGCTTCGGCTCCGTGTGGGCAGCTGTGCATGCCAGCGTCTTTCTCCACTTCCCCAATTCCCTCTGTCCCCACCCACAGCAGCGGCTGGACTGCCTCGCGACCCCACCCTGGGAAGCCCTGACAAGTCCCGGGGGGGCCTCCTAGACCCCGACACGGTGCTGGCCTGGTCTCTGTCTTGCAGTGAGCAGACCCCAGGGCTCACCCAGTGCTGGCCAACGGCTCACTCACCAGACAGAGGTCCTGGGGCCACGGGGCTTTGCGACAGCCACTGGACCTCCGTTCTCGTTGGAGGTCAGCTTCGTTCCTCACTCTGGCTCTGGGGGACAGCCTAGGCATGTGCTGGTGTAGGCATGTGCTGGTGTGGCCGTGTGTGTAGACGCAACCGTGAGCCCACCTGACCACGCATCCTTTGGTCTCTTGGTCCCTTTGGTGGGCCAGGCACTGGGCTCTGGGCATACAGGGGGACGCAGGCCCGTGGGGGACGCTGGGGTCACACATGTGATGCATAAGGCTGTGCCACTGACTTGGAGACTGCAGGGAAGGGGCTGAGGTCCTAGAAGGTCCTTCTCGCAAAGGATGCAGGGGCCTTTTGGAGAGGAAATGGCTTCCAGCGGAGGAGATTGCAGTCTGAGAATGGGGCGCGGTGGTCCTTGTGATAGGCCCACAGCCGAGGGCCCAGGGCAGCGAGCAGGGGCCAGACCCCGCACGCTCAGCCAGGGGCCAGCCTGACCTCTGCTCCGTGGTGGAGGTGGCTGGACAGAGCGAAGGAGAGGCTGGCCGGGAGGTGGGCCCTGCAGGTCTGCTGAGTGTGGGCCGGGCCTGGCCTTAGCCGATGCACGGCGGGTGTGGGAGGTGGTGAGCCAGGCCCACAGGAGGCCATGGATGTCCAGGGAGGCTGCCCAGATGTACCCTGTCCAGCCTCACGCCCAGGGGGCCCTCGCAGAGCCAGCCTCACCCTGCAGGGCACGCCCCGGGCTTCTAACCGACTGTGACTTCATCCAGGGAAGAACGTGGGCAAGTCCCCGTGTGAAATAGTTTCTCACGGCCGCCCTAACCAAGTGCCGCCGGCGGGGGGCTGTGAAACACAGAAATGTATTCTCACGGTCCTGGAGGCCGGACTCCAAAGTCACGATGTCAGCAGCACCCTACTCCCTTGAGGGCTCCAGGGCGAATCCTTCCTCATTCTCTGTCTTCCAGCTTCCTGGGGGCTGCCTGCGGGCCTGGGCTTCCTTGGTTTAGGCGCACGTCACCCCAGTCTCTGCCTCTGCCTTCCCCTTCTCCTCTGTCTTCTCTCTCTCTCTCTATTTTTAAATTGAAGGCTCACAGCATGATGGTTGACTTGCATATATTGTGAGAGGATTGCCACAATAGATCCAGCCAGCATCTGTCTTCTTATATAGATACAATGAAAAGAGAAAAAAAAAGAAGAAAATGTTTTCTTATGATGAGAACTCGCAGGATGTATTCTCTTTCCAGCTTTCCTGTGTATCACACAGCAGTGTCGGCCAGTCACCATGTCGTCCATCGCTTCCCTAGGATTTATCCACCTTAGAACTGGAAGTTTGTACGTTTTGGCAGCCTTCCTCCAATTCCCTCTCTTTCCACTCTCTGCCTCTGGTGACACAAAGCTGACTTCTTCCTCGAGTTCTTCCTCTTTTGTCTGTTACAAGGATGCTTGCTGTTTCATTTAGGGCCCATCTGGCTAAACCAGGGTGAGATCCTTAGTCATGTATGCGAAGATCCTTCCCCAAGTAAGGTCAATCACAGTTCCCAGGGACTCGGGGGCCCCCATTCAGCCCGCAACACGGGGTGACCCTGGGCAGGACTCTGCCCCTATGCCCCCCGCTCACTCTGCCCAGCTGGATGGCACCCTGGCCCGAGTTCCCGGGGCTCCTCGCATCCCCTCGCCGGAAGGCGGGTTACAGTGCCAGGCAGAGAAGAACTGGCTCAGAGAGGAGGGGAAGGGCTCAGGGGCCCCGGTCCTGCAGGGTGGGGACCAAGTAGGTGGGACCTAGGCTGGCTGTGGGTAGCCCCGAGCCCTTCGCGGGGACTGATGCAAAGCGTCTTATTTTGAGAGCTTGAGGTTTTCACCAGTGGAGGTGCCAGTCACCCTGCCCTGGGCACAGGGCCCTCCCTGAGCCTGCAGGCTCTCCTTGGCACAAAGGCAGCAGGCGGGCGCCGGGCTGGGCACAGGGGAGACTGGGAGACTGGGGTTGCCAGGGCCGTGGTTCCAGTGCCCACACCTCCGCTCCCTGGCCGTTGGCTCGGCCAGCGCCCTGCTCTGTGAAGCCCTGCGTCCCCGTGGTCAGCGCGGGTGAGTGGGCTGTGAAAACCAGGGTGGGACAGGCTTCACAGCCTGTGGCAGGGGCAGTGCTGCGCCGGCCTGCGCCTTGCTCCAGAGGAGGCCGAGGACCCTGGAACCCAGAAGGCTCTCCTCCCTCTTTCGTAGGCTGACACCGGCCCCTGCCCAGCAGCTGGCTAGTCCCACCCACCCTGGTAAGTGTGTGGCTCGGTGGGTGGTCCCCAAGCCTGGAATTTAGAGGCAGCCGCCCTGGGGGCTGGGGGAAGAGCTACAACTTGGGGAAGGTGGGGTGGAAACCGGAGCTTCCCAGAGTTGGGACCCCAGCCCCACCCATCTTACTGCTTGGATGATGCTTATTCCCAGTCTAGTGGGGCGGGGAGGTGGTTCCCACTACTGAAGGAGGGGCCCTGAACACCCTCTGTTTCAGGAACATGAAGTGAAATGAAGTGAAAATCGCTCAGTCGTGTCTGACTCTTTGTGACCCCATGGACCATACAGTCCACGGAATTCTCCAGGCCAGAATACTGGAGTGGGTAGCCGTTCCCTTCTCCAGGGGGTCTTCCCAACCCAGGGATGGAACCCGGTCTCCCGCACTGCAGGCGGATTCTGCGCCAGCTGGGCCACCAAATGAAAGCAGCGTTATTTGTTGCAAAGATGAATTGCGGCCTGGGGGGTGGGGAGAGGCCGGGAGAAACCGGGAGAAACCGGGGGGCCTGGAGCGGGAGAGATGGGAGGTCACTGGGAGAAACTGGGAACTGTGGAGTGAGGAGAGATGGGAGGTCACTGGGAGAAACTGGGAATCCTGGAGCGGGGAGAGAGGGACAGTCACTGGGAGAAACCGGGAGGCCTGGAGCGGGAGAGATGGGAGGTCACTGGGAGAAACTGGGAACTGTGGAGTGAGGAGAGATAGGAGGTCACTGGGAGAAACTGGAAATCCTGGAGCGGGGAGAGAGGGACAGTCACTGGGAGAAACCGGGAGGCCTGGAGCGGGAGAGATGGGAGGTCACTGGGACAAACCGGGAGGCCTGGAGCGGGAGAGATGGGAGGTCACTGGGACAAACAGGGAGGCCTGGAGCGGGGGCCTCAGGAATCCTGGCCTCGGCCTCCCTGAGGAAATAGGGTAGGGAAGGGGCCAGCGCGGTCTGACCTCCATGGCGACCCCACGGCTCCCGCAGGTGTGGGCCTTTGCCGGCTCCCATCTCTGCCTGCACGGGACGGAGGCTGGCTGGGGCTCCCTCCCCACTCTGGGCAGGCTGCGAGGGTAGACAGGAGGAGGCCCCCTTCACCTCCCTGCCACCCCCTGCCCGTGGGCTGTGGTCAGCTGTCTGCCGTAGGCACCGTCTGCCCACGGCCCCCGGCAGGCACTGAGGCTGCTGCTGGGGGGGGGGAGGCCAGGGAGCCCCCTGAGCAGAGTGAGGACACACAAACCCAAGTTCCCCATCCAGGAGACGGCGGGGCGGGGCAGCGGGGGTTTGTCTGAGGCCCAAGCTGGACACCTGGATGTGTGTGCGACCAGGTGCCCGCAGGCCGGCCGTGGGTCTCGCCCTGGGATACCTGCTGGGCAGGCCAGGACGAGCCTCTGCAGCACCCGAGGACCCGCTGTGCCCCTCAGACCCTGCGGCCGCGGGGCCCTGAAGCGCTCCGTCCCCCAGCTGGAGCTCGGGAGGGGAGGCAGGGGGCACGGGGCTCAGTGCCCAGCAGCTTGGGCTGAGCTCCCTGCTCCCAGCTTCCGGGTTGAGGAGGAAGCCCAGCTTGGAGGGGCAGAGCAGGTCTGGGGGCTGGGTGGGCTGCGTTGTGAGTGGGACCCGGGTGGGGACCAGGCAGGGACGGAGCGTGCTTGGCCACTCAGGGCGACATGCTTTCTAGCAAGCCAGGTGTTTGCCGGGGAGCCGCTAGTGCGCTCGGTGGGGGGGGTGTGAGCCCAGCTGTGTCACAGAGGCTGCGCCTGGAGTGGGCGTGGGAGGGGCAGAGAGGCCTGGGGGACGCAGAGGGAAGGCTGGCATCCCGTCCATCCTTCGCCCCTTGGGGTCAAAGGGCAGAGAGGCGGCCACCTCGACACGTGGAGGTCTCCTGCTGTGAGAGGCGTGGGCCCCTGCGTGTGGCCTCGGGAGGCGGAGCTGCATGGCAGAGTCCGTGTTCTGGCCCGCGGGGCGCCCCGGGGAGGTCGTGACTTCATGTGCGGCTGTCTTTGGGGCCAGGGAAGCTGGGCCTGACGCCCTGGAATTCAGGGCTCCCGTGATTTGCTGGGAAGAAGCCCAATCCGCAGAGGTGGCCCTGGGGTTAGGGGGTGGGACCCTGGCAAGGGGCTTCCTCCCTGGGGCGGGGGGTGGTCACAGCTGGCCTCGTCCTGGGGCCTGGCGAGTGTCGTCTCTGGCCACAGTGGGCACGACTGAAAGCTAGCAGGCCAGATTACCGAGCGGGCGCACCATTGGGCCTCACAGGAAGTGCTGGCTACCCGGGGCTGCCCAGGGGCCCGGCAGCAGGAAGTCCTGGGCGGGGAGGAGCCCCGGCGGCCACAGGCCCCAGACACAGGCGGCGGGCGGCTGTCAGCAGGAGGGAGCGGGCGGCTCACCTGCCCCGGGATGCCGGCCGAAGCCCCGCCCCATGGCCCCTGAGCCGCATGGCCTTCCTGGACCCCAGGACACCTGCCCCCAGGCCGTCGCCAAGCAGGAGGAGAGCCATGTGCTGGCTCAGCGCCACCAGGTCAGTGGGGCGGCCCCGGGGTGGGGGGCTTGGGAGCCCGTGCCGGCCCAGCGCCTGTAGACCCGCTCCGGGGGGCCCGCGTGTGAGCCCGGACCCACCCTCCTCGGGGCGGGGCAGTGGGACGCACAGGACCCTGGCCCCGAGCCCCAGGAGGAGAGGAGAGGAGAGGCCAGGGATGGACGGGGCAGTCGGTGGGAGCCCATGGCCTGCGCCGCTCGGCCGGCCAGCCTGCAGAAGGCCCCAGGTTGGTGTGGGCCTTCCACTGGACACCCTGCCCTGCCCAGGGGGTGTGGGCACTGGGTCCTGGGTTCACATGCTGTGAGTGTGTGTGAGTGTGACTGTGTGTGTGTGAGTGTGCCTGCACTGGGGGAACGCAGGGCCGTGTGAGCCCCGCCGACTGCCCACCGCCCACCCCCTGTTCGTGGAGCGCCATGCCCCATGCCTGGGTGCCTGGCAGGGGGCTCAAGAGCCTGGGGTCTCAGGGACCCCAGCCCGGGTCGTGCGCCTCCCCCTGGCGTGGCTGCTCACCAGCCTTCGTGGGAGATGGTTTTTTTTTTTGGTTTCGTTGGGGGTGGTTTTCTTTTGGTTTCCATTCTTTTGTGGAGAAAGATTCAGGGAAGAGGAAGGGAGAGGAGCAATTGAAAGGGGAGACTGAACCCAGAGGCGCTGCGCCCCACCCCTCAGGCGCCACCTAGTGCCCGCTGAGTGCCCAGGTGGGGCGGCAGGGCCGTGTGCTTCGGAATTACTCAGCGTCTCTGACCCTCTCTGTCTTCACCAGTGGGCACGATGCTGGTTCACACGTCAAGGGGTGCTGGGGTGGTGACGTGGGCGATCCCTGAGAAGCACAGAGCCTGGCACATGGTGTGTGCCCGGGGTGACCCAGGCGAGCCCGTGAGCTGGGGGCAGAGCAGCGCTGTGGGGTTTAAGGAGCGGTCAGGCCCGGCGCTGGACGAGTGCAGGGCTGTGGGCGGTGCTGATGACTCTGGCGCTCAAGCTGCCTTGCCCAGGGGACGGGACCCCCCCCCAGAGGGTCCTCTCAGCCCTGGAGGGTTAACCCTAACCCTAACACCCTGGAGGGTGTGTGTGAGTACATGTGGGAGTCAGTGCGTGTCTCTGAGTGTGTTGGAGTGCACGCGGGCGTGTGTGAGGGTGAACACACATGTAAGAATGAACGTGAGCATGCACACGTGTCGATGAGTGTGTGCACGTGTGTGAGTGTGAACAGCTGAGCGAGTCCATGTGTGCATTTGAGGGCGTGTGTGGAGGTGGCATGTATGAGCATGTGCAGATAGCTGTGTGTGAGTAAGCACACACGTGTGCCTGTGACAAGTGAGTGTGTGCATAGTTGTGAGTGTGCGAATGACCGCCCTGGGGACCCTGGGAGCCCTGGCCTCCCCTCCCTGCAGCGCTCACAGATGGGCGGCCGGTGACCACCGACAGGAACCCCTAGCGCTGTGGTCGCACGAGGCGCCGGCTCCTTCGCCACAGCCAGGGCCGCAGGTCTGCAGGTGTCGGGAAGGGGAGCCGAGGGAGCTCTGCTCTCGTGCACAGGCTGACACGGAGCACACGCGTGTGCACACATGCCAAAGAGCAGGCACAGAACCTCTCACCTGCATCGTGCGGCTCATGCACGCGTCCTGCCTGGGTGCGCCATCCGTGACGGTGGCTGGGTGTGTGGGCCTTTTCAGGGGATGACCACAGGCCCCGGGGACTCACACCCCAGGGGGAGGAGGCGCCACAGAGCCTGCACTTCCTGGAGCCCAGGGCTGTCTGCGAGGAGGAGCGGTTCTCACCTGCCTGCTCTGCCCCTGGGTGCTGCAGCCTCGGGCTTGGGTCCCACAGACCAATCTCAGCTTTCAGAGAAGGTGGGGGTGAGCACGGAGCAGAGACCAGAGAGCTGCCTGGTGCTGGGCTCCTGGGCAGGTCCGAGGGGCACGGGGCAGGGCCGGGGGCCCAGAGGATGCAGGGGCATCAGGATGAGCCGGCCCTGCCACGGTCCACCCTCTGGAGGGGGGCGGCGGAACGTCGTTGTCTGTCTCTGAAGCAGAGGAGGTGACGGTGGAGCGCAGCCAGGCCTGCTACCAGGTCAGCCAGTGGGCACCAGGAGCGCTCCTCCGGTCCACAGAGGGGGCTGTGGCCAGGTGAGACCGAGCCCTTCACAGGCCTGTGCCCGCCTGGCCACCGAGCCGACCAGGGTGGGACTTTGGGGCCGCCCGGCTCCTTCTGCTTCAGGTGCGGAGCCAGGAGGAGGGGTGGGCTCTATCAGTCCTCAGCTCTGCCTCCGGCGCCCCTGCCCCCACAAAGATGCCAGGTCTCCTTACAGACTGGGGAGGAGGCGATGGAGTGGGCTGGGGGCTCTGTGTCCACTTCCTCTGGCTTCCAGGCCACCTGCAGTCCCCACCACCCAGGGCAGCAGCATTCTGCTCCCCCTGTGGGACAGCCTGGTGCCCCTTCTGTGCCCGGGTGCCCCCTCTTAGGTCAGGGAGGACCACCTACAGCTGAGCTAGCTCCTGTTTCATTTTCAGATTGTTGCTGGCAGAGGGAAATACGGCGGAGTTTTATGTGTCCATCTGCTGTCCCGCTGCCTTGCTGAGCTTGTTTATTATTTCTAAACATTCTTTAGTGGATCCCTGGGGTTTTTCCTGACCATCTAACCTCTGAACAGTTTTACTTTTTCCTTGCCAATCTGCATAGCTCTTATTTCTTCTTTCTGCATAACTCTCCTGGAAACTCTGGCTCAATGGTGAATAAAAATGTCCTTCCCTTGTTCCTCACTGGAGAGGAAGCTTTCGGTCACTCACCGCTAATCGTGATGTTCGCTCAGGGTTTTTCATAGACGTTCTTCACCAGGTTGAGGAAGTTTCCTCCTACTCCTAGTTTGTTGAATGTTCTTAAAAAAAAAAAAGTTTACTTGTCTGCACCGGGTCTTAGGTGCAGCACATGGCGTGTTTAGTCTTCCTTTGTTACTGCATGTGGGATCTTTCGTTGAGGCCTGTGAACTCTCAGTTGCAGCATGTGGGATCTAGTTCCCTGACCAGGGATTGAACCTGAACGTCTTGCATTGGGAGTGCAGAGGATCAGCCACTGGGCCACTAGGGAAATTCCTATTGAGTGTTCTTATCATGAAGAATTGCCAGATTTTGTTAAGTGCTTTTTCTGCTTCTGTTGAGACAGTTGGGGCTTCCCTGGTAGCTCAGCTGGTAAAGAATGAGCCTGCAATTCAGGAGACCCCTGCATTCCTGAGTCAGATTTGATTCCTGAGTCAGAAGACCCCCTGGAGAGGGGACAGGCTGCCCACTCCAGTATTCTTGGGCCTCCTCGGTGGCTCAGATGGTAAAGAATCCGCCTACAGTGCAGGAGACCTGGGTTTGAACCCTGCATTGGGAAGATCTCCTGGAGGAGGGCATGGCACCCACTCCAGTATTCTTGCCTGGAGAATCCCCATGGACAGAAGAGCCTGGCGGGCTACAGTCCATGGGGTCACAAAGAGTCAGACATGACTGACTAAGCACAGCACGTTGAGACAGTTGTTTGGTTTTGTACTTTATTAGATTTGTACTGTAGTGTTCAGTTGCTCAGTTGTGTCTGATTCTTTGCGACCCCATGGACATGCCAGGCTTCACTGTCCTTCACCATCTCCCAGAGCTTGCGCAAACACATGTTCATCAAGTCGGTGATGCCATCCAATCACCTCATACTCTGTCGTCCCCTTCTTCTCCCGCCTTCAGTCTTTCCCATCAGGGGCTTTTCCAATGAGTCGGTTCTTCGCATCAGGTGGCCAAAGTATTGGAGTTTCAGCTTGAGCATCAGTCCTTCCGATGAATATTCAGGACTGATTTCCTTTAGGATGGATTGGTTTGCTCTCCTTGCAGTCCAAGGAACTCTCAAGAGTCTTCTCCAACACCACAATTTAAAAGCATCAGTTTTTTGGCACTCAGCCTTCTTAATGGTCCAGCTCTCACATCTATACATGACTACTGAAAAAAACCACAGCTTTGACTTGAAGAACTTTGTCGGCAAAGTAATGTCTCTGCTTTTTAATATGCTGTCTAGGTTTGATACAGCTTTTCTCCCAAGGAGCAAGTGTCTTTTAATTTCATGGCTGCAGTCACCATCTGCAGTGATTTTGGAGCCCAAGAAAATAAAATCTCTCACTGTTTCCATTGTTGCCCCATCTGTTTGCCATGAAGTTGATGGGACTGGATGCCATGATCTTCGTTTTTTGAATGTTGAGATTTAAGCCAGATTTTTCACTCTCTCGCCTTCCTCGAGGCTCTTTCGTTCCTCTTTGCTTTCTGCCCTAAGAGTGGGGTCATCTGCATATCTGAGGTTATTGATATTTCTCCCGGCAATCTTGATGGGACTGGATGCCATGATCTTAGTTTTCTGAATGTTGANAGTTGATGGGACTGGATGCCATGATCTTCGTTTTTTGAATGTTGAGATTTAAGCCAGATTTTTCACTCTCTCGCCTTCCTCGAGGCTCTTTCGTTCCTCTTTGCTTTCTGCCCTAAGAGTGGGGTCATCTGCATATCTGAGGTTATTGATATTTCTCCCGGCAATCTTGATTCCAGCTTGTGCTTTACCAGCCTGGCATTTTACGTGATATACTCTGTATAGAAGTTAAATAAGCATTGTGATATAATGTATAACATGCTTTGAATTTTGCTTTTTGACTTTTTTTTGGCCCCAGTGCCAGCTTGCGAGATCTTAATTCCCCCACCAGGGGTTGAACCCAGGCCCTGGCAGTGAAAGTGCTGTCTTAAGAACTGAACCACCAAGGAATTTTCTGCATTCTTTGAATTTTGACTGTTAGATCAAGCTTGCATTCCTAGGTTAAATCCCACTAGGCGTGGTCTAGAATTCATTGTGTGTGGTGTTGGATTCAGCTTGCTGGTGTTTTGGTGAGCAACTTTCTGTCTACACTCATAAGGGATACTGGTCTGTAGTTTTCTTGTGAGGTCTTTGGTTTTGGTATCAAGGTAATGCTGGCCTTTCAGAATGAGTGCCTTCCTCTGGTTTTTGGCTGAGTTTGTGAAGGACTGGTGTTCATTTGGACCAACTCTTGAGGGTTGAGTTAGCTCAGTTGTAAGAGGAGCCAGTGGAAACACAGTGGACAGAGGCCTGAAGGTGGGAGTGTGGTGGACTTGAGTAACGCGTGCCCTGGGCCTGGCTGGTGCAGGCACAGCGGAGGCGGAGGGCAGGAGGAGAGGTCCACAGGGGCCGGATCCGGAAGGGCCGGTGGGATGGGAGCAGGTCCTGGCGTTTTAGAACTGAGCAGCGATGGGCATTGGGGGTGCGTTAGAGAATGTGCGGAGGGGAGGGTGATGGAGGAAAGAGAGACTGGAGGCCCAGAGGGGACTGAGGAGAGGAAGTGGTAGCACCCGGAGGTGGTGGAGGGGGGCACAGGCGGGGGGGCTGGGAATGCTGTTGGGAGGGGTTGGCAAGGGCACTGTGAATGGGCATGGAGCGGAGGGAGGCTGCTGGGACAGGCCAGGGCTGGCTGCAGGGGTGAGGGGTCTGAGCGCTGGCCTGAGAAGGCAGCTGGGAACCAGGGGCGGGCAGCCAGGTGGGAGCAGGGCTGAAGCTAGACCTGCCCTCTGCTGCCCGTGGCCCATGTTGGTCAGCAGTAGGGGAGGCAGAATGGTGGGGAGGCCACCAAGGGCCTCTGCCAACCTAGGGGGTCTCCTGGGAGAGTGCCCACCGACTTCCAAGAAGGTGGGAGGTGCCCAGGACCAGACCCCTGACTCCTGCGGGGAATCCCGGGTCAGACCGCCGCGGCAGCCTTCCCCGGAGGGGGCACTCTCGCCCACCAGCCCCGCCTGAGCCGAGATGCAGGGCGGTCCTCGCCCCGACTGACCAGAGCCCCTCAGGGTGGGGTCCGGGGAGAAGGAGGCATTTTCCCAAGGGCTCCGCCGCACGGAGCCGGGTGGGGCTGGGGTCCGGGCGGGGGCCTTCTAGCCGCGGGGCTGTGAAGCCGGCTGCCCGTTCGCCTCTGAGGCTTCCTGACTCCTCCAGCAGGCTCCCTCGGGCCTCTTCCTAGCTCCCATGCGCCTCCTCCTAGCGCCCGTGCGCCCCCTCGGGGCGGCCGGGGTAGAAACGGAGGCCCGGGAGGGGCGCGCGGCCCGGGGCCATGTCGGTGCGCACAGGGGAAGCGGGTGCGGGCTGCCCCCCCGAACCCAGCCGGGCCCGCCGCGTGGACATCGTGAGTACCGAGCGGGACCGAGCCGGCGCTTCCGGCGAGAACAAAGGCGGGCTGGCGGGCGGGGGCCGGCCCCTTGCAGGTCTGGGGGTTCTGGGTGGGGCGGGGGCCCGTCTGCTTCCGACACCTCCTGGGGCGGACACCAGCGCGGGGCCTTCTTCTCCCTACGCCCGCGGTGCCCTGTCCTGGGCCGGCCGGTCGGGCTCGGGGGTGGCGCGCCTTTGTCGTAGCCTCCGCTGTTGGGGGACGCAGGCCAGAGGGCTGGCTTTGTGTGCAGGGGGAGCTGAAGGGGGCAGCCCACGGGACCTGGGCAGAGGCCGAGGCCGGGGCCCCACCGAGGATGAGGCGTCCGGGGAGGCGGGAGGCAGTGAACATTTGGTGGAGTGCGCTGGTTTGCCAAGAGCAGTGGTTTTCTCTGAATGCATGTGTGTCTGGGGATGGGGCAGCAGTTCCAGCAAGACTGGGCTTCTGGGTCTGACCCTGACTCCTCCAGCTCCACTGTGCACCCAGGAGGGACCAGGCGCCGGTGGGATGGGGGCAGGCACTGGAAAAAACAGCGCAGGGTGGGGGTGTAGTTCAGAGGGACCAGGAGTAGGGAGTGGACCAGAATGTGACTGGGCATTGAGGTGCCTCACAGAGAAGGACCCTCTGAATCTGGGATTTGAGGGACGAGTAGGAGTTCTCCAGGTGAAGAGGGTTAGCAGTCATTCCAGGTGGAGGCTGGAAGTGTGAGACTAAAGAGCCTGCGAGGTTTCTGGGAGAGTGCTTGGAACAGGAGGAAGAGGCTGTGGAGTGGGGTCCTGGAACGGAGGGTCTTGTGTTAACCCCCAGGCAGGCAGCCTGTCCCTGGTGTCTGCACTGTGTGGTCCCTGCCCGAGTGATGCCCCAGGCTGACGGGGTGGATCCCAGTCAACCCACCACATGGTTGTCATGGCCACAGTAGGCAATAGTGCGTCCCCATCCCTGGCTAAGACACGTCCCCTTCCCTTTGTATTGTAGCTTCATGGCGGCCGAAGAGATGCACTGGCCTGTCCCCATGAAGGCCATCGGTGCGCAGAACTTGCTCACCATGCCTGGGGGTGTGGCCAAGGCCGGCTACTTGCACAAGAAGGGCGGTACCCAGCTGCAGCTGCTCAAATGTGAGTCCCCTGGCTGGGGGAGGGGGGGCTTGAAGGGAGGCCCCAGGAATAGGGCTGAGCCCCCCTGGGCCTCTGTGGCCAGGCAACCCGCCTTCCTGAGCCTCTGCTTACTTCCTTGCCGTGGGCCCTCTGGAGTTTCCCTTCTGTCTCTGCCCTCTTGGGCCCTGACCTTGGCCTTTCTAGCCCGCAGGGCTGTGGGAGGGGCTGGGGTGGTGCAGCTGGGGGAGACAGGAGGGCATTGGGTGCATAGTGCTGACCAGCTGGCCAGGGAGCTTCAGCACGTGGTCAGGAGCTGTGGGCCCTTGTTTATCTGGTAGGTCTGGCTCCTGCATGGTGCCTTCACTGTATCAGGTTGGTGTTCACTGAGTCAGGCAGTCACTCCATCTGTAGTGAACCGATGTGCCAAGCTAACACCCATCTGGGTGCTGGGTCTCTGGAGAGCTTCATAAGACCTGGGCTCTGATCCCTAGGAGAGCAGCCTGGGAGAGGCGGAGCCCCCAGGCCTGGCAGATGCCTGGCTTCGAGACACTGAAGGCCCAAGAGCATCAGGACCTTGTCCATCCCTCTGACCAGCCACGAGGTCCCGTGGGGTTGCTTGAGCTGTGCCCTCTGCCAGGGACTCCCTGACCCTGTGCTGCCTGGTTGAGGGGCCCAGGCTGACTGGTTTGGTGTCTCCCTTCTCCTCTTCTGAACCGGAGGCTCCAACGAGGGCCTGGAACTGAGCTGCTCCCGGGCCCAGGAGGGGCTGCTCAGGGACAGGGCTCTCACGATCACTACCTGGGGTCGGCTCCATGTTGGGGGGTGGCGCTCTTGTTGGCAGCATCTCTGGGCTTTTTTGCCCCCACCCTCACTCCACCACCCGGGGTGGAGGGCACCTCCCAGAAGCTGGGTAGCACCAGCAAGGTGGCTCTGGCCGCTGGCCCCACCTCTGCCCTTCCTGGAGCCCGCTTTAGTGCTTGTTGCTGGGCGCCACACAGCCCCCCAAATCTCCCCCTGCGCCCGGGGGACCTGCGTGCCCATCAGCCTGCTGCCCATTTAGACTCTGCCCTGGAGCCATCCTGGGCCTCTGGGCGTGGTCCCCAGAGTGGGGCCTGCCTGGCCGAGGCTCACCTGCCCTGCCCCGCCCGCCCCACCCGCAGGGCCTCTGCGCTTTGTGGTCATCCACAAACGTTGCATCTACTACTTCAAGAGCAGCACATCCGCCTCCCCGCAGGGCGCCTTCTCACTGAGCGGCTACAACCGGTAAGTGCCCTGCTGGCCGCCAGGGCTCCCCCCGGCTCCCACCAGGGCAGGTCCAGGCCTTCCTGTTCAAGACCCCAGTCCCTCCTCTCCTGAGAGCCAGCCCTCAGGCTTGGCCGAGGGCCTGGGGGCAAGGCGAGGGCCTCCTCCAGGATCTGCTCTCCAGAGTCCCCCTCCAGCCCTCCTTCCTCCCCACCCCTCGCCCTTTCCCCCACTGCCGCCTCCTTCTGGCCGAGAGCCCAGCCTGCTGGCCCAGGCTGTGCGCTGGGGCTTTAATCAGCCACGAGCCTGCCCCCCAGGGCCTTTCTGGCTAATGGTCCGTTGGGATGGGGCGTGTTGGCTTGGGCGGGGCGGGGCGGGGCGGGCCGGGCCGGGCCCACCCTCAGCCTCTGGGACCTGCGCTGAGGCCTGTGCTTCCTGGCTCTAGGTCTTGGGGTCACACCACCCAGGCCCTGCAGCTCTGGTCCCCTGAGAAGGGCCTGGCCCTTCCTGCCTGGGAGAACCCGCGGGTCCCATGGTGTCAGTGACAGGACAGGGACCCCTGGCGAGTGACTCTGGGCCTTTGTGTACATCCTGCCTCCAGCCTAGTACCAGGTCTGAAAGCGGAGGACAGGAGAGGCTCCAGGACCCTGTGACTGCCAGCAGGCACGGGGGCGTGGAGCTCTGGGGTCTTCTGAAGAGGGATGTTTCTTTTCCACAGACACACTGCCCACAGCCTGGTGGGGGTGCAGCCCTGCCCCAGGGCATGGTCCACGCCCCCTGATGGCACCTGCCCGGGTGCCCAGCCTGACCTCATCCCCCTGGCAGATGTGATCGTTCCCTGAACCCCACGTCCCAGCTCTGGGAACAGCCACAGTCACTTCTCTGAAGTGCTCTGGGGCACGCTGCCTGGGACCAGGGGTGGGGCCGAGGCTGACCCGAGCCCCATGAGGGTCCCCAGCAGGCAGCCAGGGGTCAGGTGGGGCCCCAGGCATCCAAGTAAAGTCTTGCTGGGTGGGAGGGCAGCGAGAGTGGCGTGTCCTTGACTCGGGGCCCTGCACCACTGCTTCCTGAAAGCCCTCCCAGATCTGCACCGTCCCTCACCGCCCGCTCCTGCCCACACCCTTCCGTCTGCTGCAAGCACCCCGGCCTTCAGGCCGCAGCACAGGGGGGATGACCGTGTCCGTCAGGGCGTGGTGCTGGGTGCCAAGGCCTGTCCAGGGGTGGGTCCATGTTCAGGCAGTTCCTGTGGATGGGGAGCAGACGGTGACCACTGGCATTGACCTCAGGGTGATGCGGGCGGCTGAGGAGACGACGTCTAACAACGTCTTCCCCTTCAAGATCATCCACATCAGCAAGAAGCACCGCACGTGGTTCTTTTCTGCCTCCTCGGAGGATGAGCGCAAGGTGCCTGAGGGTCAAGGAACGGTTGCGGCCCCCATGCAGGCCCTGTGGGGCCCCCCGGGACGCGGGCAGCTGGGCGGGTGCTGCTCCTCTGTCTCCTGTCCTCGCGCCCAGAGCGTGGCACTGGCAGCCCTTGGCTCAGGGTGGCGGTCTCAGGAGGAACCCGGGTGGGCCGGCAGAGGGCCGCAGCCCCGGAAGAGCCGGCCTTGGGGGTTGATGCAGACCAGCCTGTGTGGGGAGGGGAGGGCAGGGCAGGCGAGGGTGGGTCCTGCCCGCTGAGGCCCTGGCTCACCTGCAGAGCTGGATGGCCTTGCTGCGCAAGGAGATCGGCCACTTCCAGGAGAAGAAGGAGCTGCCTCTAGACGCCAGGTGGGCAGGACCTGGGGGCAGGCAGGGTGTTCCTAGGGCCCCGGCTGGGATCCTGAGCCGGCCCCCAACCCCTGGGGGCTGGGCCCAGGGTCCCCTCGTCGAAGGCTGTTATCCGGGTGCCACCTGGGCTGTGTGTGTGCAGGGTGTGCCCCCGAGTGTGTAAGCCTGTGTGTGCGTGCGCCCTGTCAAGGGCGTCTGTGTGGGAGGTGACATGTGGTTTTACCTGTCCAGCCGGGAGGCCCGGTTTTGTAGCGGCTTAGTCCTGTGGGTCCCCAGCCCCCTTCACAGGGGAGTGAGTCCCCAGGGCCCGTCCGAGTCTTGCTGACTGCATGGGGAGGGTGGCTCAGCAGACAGAGGGGCTCTCCAGGTGGGAGCATTTACCCGGTCCTTTCAGTGATGAGGATTCCGGTGGGCCCCTGCCTGAGCCCCCAGGGCAGGAGCGGGCGGGGACCTGGGCCCAGCCCTGAGGCCTGCCACCGGGCTGGGCAGGCAGGAGGTGGGCCTGTGGCGAGAACCACAGTGGGGCTGAGAAGGCAGTCGCCCCCCGCCCCAGTCTCCTGTTCTGTGTGTGTCCGCGTGTGTGAGTGCCCGGTCCTCACTGCCCGCCCCACTCTCAGCGACTCCAGCTCGGACACCGATAGCTTCTACGGCGCCATCGAGCGGCCGGTGGACATCAGCCTGTCTCCGCACCCCACAGACAGCGAAGGTGAGATGCGTCCCGTGGGCCCGGCCCGCGCCCCTCTACGGCTGGCTGCTGCCCAGGAGGGAGGCGTGGCTGACTGGCCTCCCTGCTCTGCCCCTTGGGTTTCCTCAGGCTGCCTGGGTGTCGTGGGTCCGGGGTCCCCATCCTGGCCTCTGCCCCCCTGAGCGGGTGGGGTTTGGAGGGCCCCGCCCAGCCACCTGGTCCCAGGCCGCCCCGGGCCTGACGCCCTGTCTGCCCCGCAGACTACGAGCATGATGACGAGGACGACTCGTACTTGGAGCCCGACTCCCCCGACCCCGGGAGGCCTGAGGGTAGGTCGGGCAGGCCTGCGGCCGGGGCAGCGCGTGGGGCGGGGAGCGGGGCCTCGGGACTGGGCAGAGCCCCCTCGCTGGGTGTGGCTGTCCTGGTGGGCTCTGGGTGGCCTCAGGCCTGACCATCTCCACCTCGGGCCTCAGTTTTCCTCCTTCCACTGGAGAATCAGACCAGGAGTGGCGGGCTCTGCTCTCCGACCTCCTCCAGTTAGCCTGGGTGGGAGAGGGGGGTTCAGGGATAAATTGGGGGGCCCTCCACTTAGCCAGGCCCTGGCTGAGCCGGGGACAGTAAGGCTAGCCCTCTGTGAGCACCTCTGGTGGCCATGTGGTCACTTACCGCCCCACCCGGCCCTACCTTCCAAAGCCAGGGCTGTGAGCTTGTACCCGCATCACCAGGAAGACAGGGAGGCCTGTGGGAGGGCCATGCCCCTGTCCTGCTCTATGCCTTGTCACTCCCCGCCCCTGCTGTCCGTCCCCACCTCTCCATCCCTTGCCTTCTGTCTCATTGCTCACTAGTCCTTCCCCCACCCCATTTTCCTTTCCCAGCCCCTCTTGTCCTTGTCACTTTCATTATCCCTGGGGACTTGGCCCAATTTTTCCACCACCGCCTACCTGTTCCTTGACCTCTTGTCCAGTGACCTAGATTTCTGCCTTCCTTCGTCCCCTCATGACCTCTTCTTGGCTCTTGTTGTTCAGTCTCTTAAGTCGTGTCTGACTCTTTGCAACCCCATGGACGACAGCACGCCAGGCTTCCCTGTCCATCACCAACTCCTGGAGCTTACCCAAACCCATGTCCATGGAGTCGGTGATGCCATCCAACCATCTCATCCTCTGTCGTCCCCTTCTTCTCCCGCCTTTAATCTTTCCCATCATCAGGGTCTTTTCAAATGAGTCAGTTCTTCGCACCAGGTGGCCAAAGTATTGGAGCTTCAGCATCAGTCCTTCCAATGAATATTCAGGACTAATTTTCTTTAGGATGGACTGGTTGGATCTCCTTGAAGTTCAAGGGACTCTCAAGAGTCTTCCCCAACACCACAGTTTGAAAGCATCAAGTCCACTCAGCGTCCACTAAATGCTTTGTAGCAGCTTGAATGTGTCACGAGTAGACCCAACCTGTCTCCCCCCAGCCTGCTCCTGCCCTTTCGCTCGCCTGTCGGCAGGAGTCCCAGCTGCCCTCTGAGCCCAATCCTGGGAGGCTTCCCGGCCTCCTCTCTGTCTCTTGCCTCTCCCTCTGGGAACCTGGTGTGCATCTGGGCTTCGGGAAGTTTTGTCCAGGCTTTGGAGGGCGGCTGGGATGGGCCCAGTGGTGTGAGGCGGGTCAGACCCAGAAGGAAGGCCGCACGGGGAGTGTTGGGTGTGCGGGGCTGTGGGGCGGCCAGGCTGCGGGGCAGGGGCCCTGGCTGTCCGCCACCCGCAGAGAGGGTGCAGCTGCAGCCTCCAGCGGGGGACGCCTGCTTACCACGTGGCTCTTTTTGCTCTGCAGACGCCCTGATCCACCCACCGGCCTACCCCCCGCCCCCTGTGCCCACGCCCAGGAAGCCAGTCTTCTCTGAGGTGCCCCGCGCCCACTCCTTCACCTCCAAGGGTCCAGGCCCCTTGCTGCCACCCCCGCCCCCCAAACGCGGCCTCCCCGACGCCGGCCCGGCCCCCGAGGACTCCAGGCAGGAGCCTCTGGCCCTTCGGCGGGTAGAGCCCAGCCCCAGGGTGCCCGCCATCTCCCGGAGGATGAGCGACCCCCCACTGAACGTCCTGCCCCCCGGGCCCGGTCTCCGGAAAGCCCCTTGCTTCCCTGAGAACAGCAGCCCCAGCCTGGAGCCCAGGATCCCCATGCATGGGGTCAGCCCCACCAGCACAGCCATGGCTGCCTCCCGGAACTGTGACAAGCTCAAGTCCTTCCACCTGTCCCCCCGGGGGCCACCCGCCCCTGAGCCCCCGCCCGTGCCGGCCAACAAGCCCAAGTTCCTGAAGATGGTGGAAGAGGGCCCCCCAAGGGAGGCAGCCAGGCCTGGACCCTGTGTGCCCCCCGTGGCCCCCCGGCCGCCTCCGCTGAAGCTGCCCGTGCCCGAGGCTGTAGACCGGCCCCCCGTCCTGCCCCGGCCAGAGAAGCCAGCGCTCCCGCACCTCCAGTGAGTCTGCGGCCCGGGCCCCCCGGAATCCCCTCCCCAGCCCGTTGACCCTCTTGACCACTGGTGACCCTGTCTCCCTGCCCCCGGCTCTCAGCCCACATGGGTGCCAGGCGGCCCTGGCACAGGGAGGTCAGGGTCCTCGATCGCCTACCTGCTTAGGCTGACCGGCTGCCCCTTCACACCTGACCCTGGGGCTCGGGGGCGTCCCGCCTTACCCAGTGGGTGGTGAGCCTGGGGTCTGTGGCTGCTGCGGGGAGCAGTGGGCGAGGGGGGCTTTGGGGACACTGGCCTTCTGGAGCCCCTGTCGGTGGGGAGGGCCCCCCAGGATCAGGGGAGCGGCTGCAGGGCAGCTGGCCTTGCGGGGAGGCGTGGTGCTGAGCCTCTGTGGGCCAGCGGGCCCTCTGGGGCCACAAGCATCCTTCCCAGCACTGGCTCTGAAGCCACCAAGGCTGCCTTGAGCCCTTCCCAACTGGAAAGGCCCTGGAATGCCGGACCGCCCAACTCCCTCTGAGGCCTGCTCCAGACCCCGTGGGCTTCATTGCTGGGCAGTGCCGGGAAAGGCGTGTGTCATGGCATCTTCAGCACGTGGGACCCTCAATAGTGAAGGCTCTGGGGGCCACGGGGCGAGCCCCGAGCGGATGCTCCCGCCCGGTTCTTCCCGGGAGCCCTTGACCGTGTCTGGCTCCTCCCCAGGCTCTGCCAGCACTGTGCTGTCAGGACGTCCCTGGCGGTTCTGTCCTGTGAGGGGCTGCAGAGTCGCGGGCTGGGTCCCTGTATCAGGCTCTGGGCCTGGCCCTGAGTGCCACAGGGCCGCCTGGGCCACAGCCGATCATCCACAGCACAGCGGCACCCATAGCCTGGCAGCCCATCCCGGGCGCCTTACTGAATCCTCCCCGGAGCCCTGCCTTAGGAGCACGTGGTCACGCGCAAGGGCGTGTCTCTTTGGCCTGGGCTGTTGGCGTTGTCCTCGGTTGCTGTTGGGGGAGCATGGCTTGGCTGAGGCCACAGGGCTGGTCCGTAGCAAGGAGACTGCCCTTAGACTGGGGCCTTTTCCGCAGCATCCAGACCCCAGGATGACCCAGGCCAGGGATCCCAGCTCAGGCTTCCTAGCCTCAGGCTATTCCTGCCGCCCCAGGGTGGTCAGCATGGACCCCGGCTCCTGGAGCTCCACAGTCACGAGCCTTTGACGGCCGCCAGGGCTTCAGGCCCCAGACCTCCTGGGTTCCAAGGCTCAGTGTGGTCGCCCGGAGGGCGAGGGGGTGTCACCGAGGGGAGCGGGGCTTTGTTCCCCGTCTGATGGACCACGGCTTCCCTTTTCTTGTCCCTCTCCCAGGCGATCACCCCCTGACGGGCAGAGTTTCAGGAGCTTCTCCTTTGAAAAACCCCGGAAAGCCGTGCAGAGTGACACGTCGCAGGCGGACGCTGGCGGGGAGGGCTCCGACGATGACTATGAGAAGGCAAGGCTGGGGGGCGGTGCCCACATCTCAGCCGCTGAGGGGGCTGTGGAGGGTGGTGGCGGGCTGTCGGAAAGCTGGGGGCCCTGGGGCTGGAGGGTCGAACCCGGTACAAAGGCCTGGCTCCCAGCACAGGCTGGCAGCCAGCGGGGCGGAGGGACCCCAGCCCTGGTCCCGGGCCACGACCCTAACCCTGACCCTTGACCCTGACCACTCAGGTGCCACTGCCCAGCTCAGTCTTCATCAACACCACCGAGTCCTGCGAGGTGGAAAGGTCGGTGTGCCGTCTGCCTTTCTCCACGGCCTTGTTTGGGCAAACCTGAGGTTCTCTGCCCCCCGCCCCATCTCAGGTCTTCCTGCCTTTCTGGCCGCCCCCCGCCCGGGCTCTGTGCGTCTGCCCCTGTGGCCCCCGGTGCTCAGAATGGGGGAGGTGGGTGGGGTCGGAGGGTCCCCGAAAGCTGCCCACGGCCGGCTCCCCTCCACGAAGCCGTGTTGTTGTAGGCTCTTCAAGACCACGAGCCCCCGGGGGGCACCCCAGGATGGTCTCTACTGCATCCGGAACTCCTCCACCAAGTCGGGGAAGGTAGGCACCGAGGGAGGTGGGCCCGGGGGTCTCGTCAGCATCGGCAGTGATGCCCACCCCGCAGCACGGGCAGGAGGCAAGAAGGAAAGGGTGGGGTTCCTGTTCCTGCAACTTGAGGGGGGCTTCTTGGGGGCGGTGAGCCTGGTAGGACATCCGCTGGCTCTGCCCAGGGCCCTCCAAGGGTGACTCGTGTGACCTCACTGGGCCTCAGTTGCCCCATGACTATCAGGGGTGGTCCCAGCGTGGACCAGACACATGCTGCTGTTGCTCACGTCTCACCCGACTCTGAGGGCGGGATCCCTGGGCGCTGCTGTCCGTGTGCAGGGCCGCCCTCCCCCACGGACCCAGCCTTGACTCTGCTGTCCACCGACTCGGTCTCTGAGGGGCCGCTCGGGGTCTGAGGGTCATCGTCTTCCCAAGGTGAGCAAGCCCTGTGCTGCCTGCTTCTCTGCCTGCAGGTTCTGGTCGTGTGGGATGAGACCTCCAGCAAAGTGAGGAACTACCGCATCTTTGAGAAGGTGAGCGGCCTTTAAGGGGCCTCGCGGAAGGCCCCAGGCAGGAGGGGAAGCCTGCCTTGGAGCCTGGCTGGGGTCCCGGGAGTCTCCCTGGTGGAGCACAGGCAGTGGGCACTCAGGCCCGCGCCTCCAAACACCCCTCCTCCTTCCCCCTCCCCTCCCCCATTCCCGGCCCAGCTGTGTCCCCCCATGGACCCCAGAGGAGATGGGGTGACCCGCCCCCAACCCTCAACTTATCTGCAGACCTCGCTGGCACCCCCTGAGCGGGTGTTACTGCCGAGCACCCCACACAGGGCGGGCAAGCTGGCCAGCCCCCCTGACACTGCCCCCCTCCCCCCGCAGGACTCGAAGTTCTACCTGGAGGGTGAGGTCCTGTTTGTGAGCGTGGGCAGCCTGGTGGAACACTACCACACCCACGTGCTGCCCGGCCACCAGAGCCTGCTGCTGCAGCACCCGTACGGCTATGCCAGGCCCAGGTGACACCTGCGCGCCTCGCTACTGGGCAGAGGCGACCCCGGGGGCCCCGGCCCCAGGCCGCGCAGGAGGACGCTGGCCAACGTTGGGGGCTGAGCAGAGCCGGCGGCGAGCTCGGACCTGGGGCCTCCCCAGCGGACATCTCAGAGGAATCTCAAGGCCAGGCCCCGCCCAGCAGGCTGGGTCCCAGGGCGGGCCGGGCCCTGGGCCCCAGAGGATGAGGTGGGGTTCTCCCATCTCACCCTGCCCACTGCCCAGGGGCCCAGGACTGAGCCTGGGCTGGACTTCACGGACAGGAATGGAGGTTCCCCCAGCACACGCACCCTGCACTGGGCTGGGAGCTTGGCAGGGCTGGCGTGTTTGGGGTGGGGAGGCAGGGGCTGGACCCCCCAGGAACGTTACAACACAGGCTCTGTGAGGGGCCGGTGCTGAGCAATAAAGCACAGATGACCTTTGCACCGTGGCCAGGGCTAACTGAGTACCCACTCCAGGGTCCAAGCAGTGACCTCGCCAGGTCAGCTCGCCCTAAATGGTGGTCTTGTCTTCTAGACCACAGGTCGCTAAATGGCTTGATCTTGGGTGCACAGCTGGTCACAGGACAGGACCCCAGAGTCGGACGGTCTGGGTTCAAAGCCTGTACATGAAGGACCAGATTCTGCTGCCGCGAGTCCAGTCCAGGGCAGGCTGAAGGCCCCGCACATCTCTAGTTGGGTCATTGGCTGGATTAACCAGCAGCTGGGACACAGCCAGGTGGGAGGCTCTCCCAGCGTCCACTGTCCGCAGCAGTAGGGTCTGCAGGGGCTGGGAGCTTGGAACCCAGCTGAGGGTTCCAGGAAGGCTTCCTGGAGGAAGTGATGGCTACAGCACTAGGGGAAGAGTGGGCCCCGTGTCGGCCAAGGATAGATGGGGACGATGGAACCAGATGCCCAGATGCTCCGGTCCGTACACATGCCCAGCCCTGAGTACCTCCGTGCTTCCTCCAGCAGGCTGGTCTCCCTGGCATGACCATCCAGGGGTGATTTTTTTTTTTTGCATAAAAACAAGCTCAACTGGTGTCGGGGCTGCCAGGGAACCTAGGGCCATTTGATCCTCTGCATTGCCCTCTTTTGCTAGGAAAGAGGAATTTGTTGTGTAAAACCTAGGCCACGAGAGCACTTGTGCCCACTGGCACTGATTAAAGGCCCCAGGAGAAGGCCACTCGGGCGTCCCCGCCTCTGCCCTGGGGCACGTCCTGTGGGAGGTGGTGGAGAGGGGAGAGGGGAGGGGGGGCCGGGCAGGGACGTCGGCTCTCTGATGGGGAAGACGACGGCCGTCTGCTTCCAGAAATGGGGTGTCCAGCTCTGCAGATGTTTCCACTTCAGCCCCCAGGGATGGGGGTCACCGGGGTCACCCCCACTCTGGGGGTCTGGGGTTTGGGAGTCCTGGTGTTCCTCCTGCAGCATCTACGGGGAATGAACAGTTTGCCCTCCTTCACCCGCTCTGCCCTGAACCCCTGGAGGCACACCGTTCCTGTGTGGCCGCCGCTTCAAGTGGGGCCTGGGGTCAGACGCAGTTTCCAGCCAGGCTTGGGGTCCGCTGTGCTGGGGACCGCCGCAGAACGCTACTGCCTTTAGCTGGCATGCAGCTGCTTGGGAGCCAGCTCGTGTTAGAAGACCCCGAGCTGGAAGTTGTGGGGGTTCTGGCATCCAGAGCCAGGTGACAGGTCCTTCCGGCCGCCTGGACAGATGGGGTCTGTTGCTGCCGGAGGCCCAGCACAGGGCCTGCCGGGACAGCTGCCCACCTCTGTGGACCATGCAAGCTCAGGGCCTCGGTTGCTAGAGTGTGTGGGCTGGAGGCAGTGGATGGGGCACCAGATGTGATCCTCTGATGTGGAGGCGGGGAGGCGGGGGTCCCCGACCTGCCAGAATGTTCTGTTCCCCCCGTTGGCTGGAGGGTGGTTAGCACCGAGCACTTCCTGTACTCGAGGCGCCAAGCTGCAGACTTGACTTAAGCCGCCGCTCCTCCAGCTGCAGGCAGACCGTTTCACAGGTGAGAAAACCGAGCCGTGGAGCGGCCTGGGCTTGCGTCCCAGCCACGTGATCTGTCCTTTGCCGTTGAGCCCAGACCCTGGCGTCTGCCCAGCGGCCTCGGACAGGCATTGTGGGGTGTTTGGTTAACCTGCACCCCCAGGGTTCCAGACCTGCCTTCACCCAGCAAGGGGCCCACAGCTGGGGGGTGGCAGAGGACAAGACCGACCCACCTCGCTTCTCCGTCCTCCCAGCCCTAGTCTGTGGGTAGACCCGCCGGGAGGCCCACCCGAGGGGCCATGCTGCCCCTCACCTTACAGACAGGGAAGCTGAGGCTCACAGAGGCTTTGCTGACCTGCCCAGCCTGGTTGAGTCCAGAGGCGGTTCAGTCCCTGCCGTTGGGAAGAGGCCCCAGCTACTTTGAGAGCTCCTCCAAGCCAAGCACTGAGCCTGGTTTTACTCTTCCTGCGGTTGATCAGAAAGAGTGCAGAAAGCCCCTGTAACTTGTTAATAGTGATTTTTTATTGCAAAAATGTGCTTTTAGAACCAGAAGAGACCTGACGAAACCAATCGGGGTTGCTCCCTGCCCCCACCCCAACCCTGGGTCACATGGCGTGGACGCCCCCTGCTGTCCTGGGGNGTGAGGGCTCCTGCTTTACTGTGAAGCCTGCATCTGTCTCCATGCTTTCCTGTTTGTGCACCTACATGAGTGGAGTCATACCCATGCAAGCTTTGGCATCTGTCTTCTGCCTGTCATGTCTTCAGGTTTATCCAAGTTTCTATGCGTAGCTGTAGTTTCTTGCAGAAAACTGTTCTGTTGATGGTGTAGTAGTTCATGGATCCGTTTTACTGTGGATGGACGTTTAGTTTGCAGTTTGGGACAATCACAGTGCTGCTAGCAACAGTCTTAACTGTTTCTGACCCATGTGTGCACGAGTTTCTCTGGGGTGTGTACTCAGGACTCTTGAGTTCTAGGGCATCAGGGCCTTCCACTGTTTCCCAAGAATTCTGCAGTAAAAGATCTCCTGTGGTTCCACATTCCTTGTTAATACTTGGATTGTCAGACTTTTCTCCATCTTTGCCAAGCTGGTGGGTGTATAATTATGGCTTTAATTTGCATTTAGCTAGTTATTACCGGACTTCCCTGGTGGCTGATGGTAAAGCATCTGCCTACAATGTGGGAGACCTGGGTTCAATCCCTGGGTCAGGAAGATCTGGAGAAGTGAATGGCAACCCACTCCAGTATTCTTGCCTGGAAAAATCCCATGGACGGAGGAGACTGGTAGGCTACAGTCCTTGGGGTCGCAAAGAGTCTGATATGACTTAGTGACTAAACAGTTACTAATGAGGCTGAGCACATTTTCACATATTTATTAGCCATGTTGATTTTGTCTCCTGTGAAGTGTCTGTTCAACTCTTCTGCCCATTTTCCTGTGTTTGTCTTTTTCTATTAATCTAAGAATTCTTTATATAGTCTTGAGACTGTCAGTAACATGTGTCATGTATATCTTTCCAACTCGATAATTGTTCTTTGGACGTAGCACGGGGTAAGGATTCACTTTCATACCTCCCCACGGAGGGTGACCCCACCTGTCCCTGCATTGTCTATGTATATAATCAGCCCCTTCCCTAGGCATCTGCAAAGCCACTTGCCATCTATCCATACACGTGTAGGTCTGTGACTGGACTCTGTTCTCTTCCATTTGTCTGTTTCTATGCCAATACCAAGCTATCTTAATCACTGTTGTTTAGTTAGTTCTGATGGGCTTCCTTGGTGGCTCATTGGTAAAGAAGCTGTCTGCCAGTGTGGGGGACGCGGGTTTGATCCCTGGGTCCAGAAGATCCCCTGGAGAAGAAAATGGCGACTCACTGTAGTAGTCTTGCCTGGGAAATCCCATTGACAGAGACTAGTGGGCTAGAGGTTATGGGGTCACAAGAATCAGACACAGCTTATCGACTAAACAACAACAATTAGTCGTCATATCTGGTAAAGTAAGTCCATATTTTTCTTTGAATGTGTCTCGGCTCTTCTGGCTCTTAGTGATTTCCGTGTAAGTTTTAAAATCATTTAGTCAGTTCCATTAATGACAACTCAGTTGGTATTTTGACCAGGAGTTCATTGCAGCTATTAATCAACTGGTGGAAATTTGAAATCACTGATTATTCTGATTCATGAACGTGGGTCTCTCTCTCTTCATTTGGGTCTGTCTTTAAGGTTTACCGATAGGATTTTTATAATTTTGTCCTTTACGGTCTTGCTCAGCTTTCGCTAGGTTTCATTCATAGGTGTTTCGTATTCCCTTTATCGTATATGGTTTTAACTTTTTTGTCATGTAATGGTAGCATATAGGACACATTTTGTCTTTTAACTGCAGCAATTTGTCCATTTGTGTTTAATGTAATTAAATCTGTTGTCATATTTTTCCATCTGTGCTGGTGTTTTTCTCTTATTTTTTCTTGTTTTTGGATTGAGCAACCTTTTTTCTTTTTTTTTTTTTAGCATGCCGCTTTCCCTCTTCTAGTTTGAAAGTTATACAGTCTATTTCTATTCTTAACTAAGTTTAGAGCAGTCAGTGCTTTTACTGTCCTGCACAACACAAGGAGTTCAGGTGACTTTTTTGGTTGTACTCTGTGGCATGCAAGATGTTAGTTCCCTGACTGGGGATCGAACTCATGTTGCCTACAGTGGTCGCATGGAGTACTAACCACTGGGATGCCGGAGAGCTGCCTTCAGGTGGCTGAATTTTATTCATCTCATCGTTTGATATTGATATTCATTGTTGTTTGTGTCTAATTTTGTATTGTTGGGTTTGTTTTTTTTTTTGTTTTGTTTTTAAGCTCCTACATAGAGGTTTCCCTGATACCTCAGTTGGTAAAGAATCCACCTGCAATGCAGGAGACCCTGGTTCGATTCCTGGGTGGGGAGGAACCGCTGGAGAGGGGATAGACTACCCACTCCAGTATTCTTGGGCTTCCTTTGTGGCTCAGCTGGTAAGGAATCTGCTTGCAATGTGGGAGACCTGGGTTTGATCCCTGGGTTGGGAAGATCTC